AAAGAAATTTTTTCCCGAGAAGGCAATATGCGAAACAAACTTAAATAATACTACTAGCATTATTAATATGCTATTTTATTCCTTTCTTAAAAAGGGTATATAAAATCGAATCGATTCATTGTTGCCCTTTTTCGCGATACTGATTGGTTCTCTCGTTGCACACAGTGCTTACGTCGTATCGTGAGTAGCTGTCATCGCGGAGATTGTGTATTTTGATAGTTTAATAAATGTTAAGAGTTCCACTGCGTAATTCATTACAAGAACAAGTTTTATATTGATTTGGCGGCACAACATATGCAAAAATATGAGGAATTATTTTCTTTTTGCACAAATTATTCCGCTGTTACGCATTCCATATCTTCTGTCTAGAATGATAAAATACCCTTAGATTTCAAAGTCTTAAATTTCTTAAGTAATAATCGAGATGTACGAGTACAAATTGAAAACCACATCTTATTTTTTAAAATTTGTAATGATTTATAGTCTACGCAGTACCTAAACATAATAAGCTGAAAGTCAAAATCTCAGTTGCGCGATAAAAATTAATATCAATAAAGTAATAAAAATTAATAGAATGATCGGTAAATATACGTATTATATATGTGTATGCATAATCGCTTATAATGCTAAAATTACTGTAAACTTTGATATTTTCGATTTTTATTAAGATTTTTAAATTTATTTATGTAAGAATACTATTCTTTTGTTAATATAGTATTACAAAAATACAACTTGAAATGTAATTACCTGGAAACGTATGCAAAAAGATCAATAAAAATATATCTACTAAAAATTTTGCACAACTCAATAGGAAATTTTGACCGATTATTCCACTAGGAAAATATAATGTAAAGTATTTGTATTAAGAAGATATATATAATTCTTCTTTTCAAATATTGCAGAGATTCACTCTCTCCCACCGTGTAAAGCAGAAACAAATAGCACATGCATTATTGTTTTATAGTCTGCACTATATCAGAAAGCCATGGTCGTCATACATAGACAATTACATAAATAAAAACAATATTCAAAGACAAGCTGCGTCTGCACCAATTTTACATAGGTGCACTCTATCTCAATAATATAATGTTGGTATTTGCATAAAATTGATTCCTTTTAAAGATACAACCAGTAAAAATATATTTTAATGAAAATATAATAAAGGGAAATATGTTTTCAAACAAAAATAAAAATATAACTAATTTCATTACAGAATTTCATTACGAATTGAATTATATAAAATAGAACATTCGAATTATTAAGCTGCCATACATAATTATATTTATTTTAAATTATATTATTTAATTATAGACAATTTGTACATATATAACAAAATGTTTTCTATTATCAAAAATTCAAGAACAATACAACATATGCGATTATGTGATTACGACGAAATGATCTTTACATTTATGATTAGTTCGATCTTGCCGAAAAATTATTCGTCATATCACTAATGAAAAAATTTATTAGTTAATCGATCTATCAAGCTTCCTCCCTTCTCCCATCTCTCCCTATGTCACACGAGTTTTTTCGTGCGAACAAAATGTTCCCGGTCACTTAGAATGGCCATATCGCGTAACTGCATTGGCAGAAAACAAACAGTCGTGAGTTTGATGTGCTAGATTTTCATAAAAAATGAAAATTTTGTGCGTGTGTGTGTGTGGGTGTGTGGATTCGCAAAATAATGGGAATCTTATGAGAAAGTATGTCATGATTGTTGCCGATCGATGAGAAAAACGTTCGTCGAGATTTATAGATACAGTATCAAAATAATATAAAAAGAGAGAGCATTGTTTCCAACTTATACTGTGTGTGGCTAAGTTTCAATCAGTTCCTTTTTATTATTTTAATGCAAAAATTCAGTATTTTTAGGTTCGATTGATAAATATACAATTTTTTTTGCGATAAAGTTTATCGTTGAAATATTAATTATAGCTCCACTCATAGATAAACTAATTTGCATCAAAAATTGCAAGTATAATACTATATTATTTATGATTATGTATTGAAATATCATATATTTCGTACATGTCAATAATTTAGATTTAAAAAAAATTCATAGAAAAATAAAAAGATATATTTGCAAACTTTTTATCATTAAATTAATCTTTCAAATAATTGGATAGAATATTTAATAATATATATAACTCGTTTCATTGCTTTTTTTTGTGTTCTCCGTTCATCGTTGAAGAGGTCGCACATATTATGAATTCTTCTTATATAGTTTTATATAGACAATGTATTAAAAATTTCAAGAATATCTTAGGGAATCATTCTTATTAGAGATACATCTTTAATCGATCCATCGATCATGACGAGATTCTCTGTGCTACCACGCTTGTTGTACGACGAATGTTTCTATGTACGTGTACACACGAGAACAAATATATCTTCTCCCAAAAACTTACACGCGTATTAAAGCATATCCGAGTTGATATCGCCGGTTTATTATTATAATAATATTGTATTATTTATAGTGGTTTAAAGTACAAGTTCGTGTGAGAAGGCATATCGTGCTTTATCTCTCAATATTCGCATAATGATTGTTAATTATTCGAGAAATGGCAAGGCTCTTTCAAAGCAATGGGAGAACGTGACTGACGTTTATAGTTTGACGTACAAATATTGAGAGAATGCACCTGTGTCGGATATGCGTCCGATACGCATGCAAGTTCATGTGAAAAGACATATATGTCCCCGTGTGTACAATGTTAATCCGATAGCCTACGAATTGCTGTGCGAATCGCGCCGCGCGTGTAGAAGTATAATGGGGTTTATCTTATCTAGTCAGAGTTATAAATAAATAATTTTGCCATTTAGTAATTTCTTTTATCGCTATGTGTGTGAATACGTATACAAAATAGTTTTTTTCTTTCGTCGAAAGTTCGAACAAATGGACGAAACTGATGATGATTTCTGTATCTCGAGAGACGACGAGGACGATGATTAAATGTACGATGCGACTGTCCATAATGTATATCGCCATTTATTATTATTATTATTATTATTATTATTATTATTATTATTATTTCATTGTTCTATTATTATTATTCTTTTGTACTTTTATTATAATTATTTTTTGCATACCACATACATAAATGGCATTTAACGTCCGTTACGCGTCCGAACCGCAATGAGATGAGACTTTTGCGCAAGGTAC